ACCTCCATAGTGGTCATAGTGGTTGCGGTTTCGCACCGTCCTTGACGTCATCCGTCGATCATGTTTTCACTCCACGTGTGGTTCGATCCCGGCTGAGACCAGGACCAGGTTTCTTCAGGTGTGGGCTCCAGAAATCCCGAAGATTTAGCATAAGTCCCGAGAAAATTTACCAATCAACCATCATGTACCCTCTGGTAGACTAACATAGCTATGGAAAATCACCATTTTCAATGGGAAATTCCACTATAAATTGTCATTTTCAATAGCTATGTTAAATTACCATCATGTATCTGCATATTTGATAATACTGTATTTGCTCCGTTGATAGTTAAACACCCATAGAACCACTAGATATATTTACCACTCAACCATCATTGTTTCACTTATATCATGCTATATCTCCATTTTTTATGCTAAAAACCCATAATATAAATCCCCATGTCATAACCAATCAACCGTTCAAAATTATTCATGACTAGAGTCATGACTTGGTCAGCCATCCTTCCCCAACGCCAAGGAACAACTCGTCGGCCGAAGATACCTCGGTCATAACTTGCTTAAGGATGGTTTATTGGGGCTATGGTGTATAAACCAACTTATAGTTAACTGAAACTATAGTTGGGTTCAACAATAATCTGGGAATATGATGATCGACTGTAGAACTAAGTATATGGTTTGAATTACCGGCTGATTCCCATGGAAAGGTGGTTTCTAGGTCTTAGGTTGAGGCCTAAAAGATAGCTATCCTATCATATGTGAGCAAGTTACCCATCTATGATCTTATGATAGGATAGCCCAATATAAACTAAACATGCTGGTTTCTATCTTATCATATCTGAGTGTTATCTTATGTTGACTGAGTGATATCACCCATAATTTGGCTTGTTCCATTCCCCGTTTGTCCATTTATATTGCTTAAATCTGTTGTTCGAGTGGCAAACGCACATTTCTCTTGGCTTGTGATTTTTCTGTGGTAGTTTACTTTGCATTCCAACACATCATGGACACATGAAAAATGCACCAAAAATACCTAACAATCACCCAGTTTTGTAGGTAAATATCCCAGCACCATGGTTCGCATATGGGGATGTAAATCCACTTCTTTTCACCGAAATCATCAATGGAGATCATCCCGGCGTCGGCCCAGGCACAATTCCCATCGAACTATCGCCAGCCCTGCCGAGTTCGGAACCTTCACCAACGGAGGGAACTTTGCTGCAGCAACACTTATAGTGGATTTCACCAGTGAACCAACAACAAAAAAGCACATAACTCGGGTTTCAAGATCTATATCATGCGGAAAACACCCCAGCTGGGACCACAATCGGGAAAATTTAGCCGGCTATAAACATGCAGATTTCAGCGGTGGCCGCATGGACAACCTTGATATTTCTCGTAGATTCCCAGTGATGGGAAAATCGGTTGCGCGATGGAATCGGATAAAATGTGGAGTGTCAATTCCTGACCGAGTTTTACCAGTTGATTTCTATTCAAACACCAACCAAAACCCCCTTAAAGGCTGCAGTATTGGATATGTCGGATATGTTTTACTCCCTCCACTGAGGCAAGGTCTCACACGTCCGCCTAAAATCCAGGGGATTCCCTCGTCCAAAGCCTTCTCCTGTTGATAACTGGGCTGTGATGGTTGCCAAGCAGTGTATACTATTGAGAATCATCGGGGGATATCTTAACTACAGTAATAGGTACTATATATAGGTACTATAATATAGATCTATATATAATGTTTGCTGAATTTGTTATTCTTTTTTTGGTTCCTACTAAATCATCCAATTTGGGCTTTTTTCCAGCCCGTGTGGCCCTTACATTCATGGAATTTCTGAACTAGCGTCTTGCAGGTTGTTACCCCGTTACCCCTGAAAAGTGTCTGAAACAACACACCAACAATACACAGTCGTTTTCGCCTGTCACTAACTCAGATGATCATCACACAACGAAAGTGCTTACTCTCAATATGATACAATGTGAGGCCCCAAGACAGCTAAGTTGGTGAACATAACTCCAATAACTATGGTTTATGGTACGCAAATAACGAACTAGTTACTGGGGCTTTTGTTAACCAACTAACATCACTGGGGGGCCTCACATTGTACTATAGATATCTATAGATGATATGTAGCACCTGGCCTGGCCTCGTCAACTTGGAGCGAGGCTGGAGCCAGGGGCAGAAAAGATGCTGGGGCCCGTAGGCGAAATCGCTAAGTTGGTTGAACTAACGAGGTGAACTTACTATGGTTTATGGTAGGATATGGTAGGTATAACTATAGCATCTATAGTTATATATAATGATCCCCGTTCAATGAACTACACTAAGTATTTCACACTCCATTCGCGCTTTAAGTCCTCGCAATACACTTCTTGTTGACGGGTATTCCCAGTTAACGAGGCGACTCGACCCATAGGGTTGGCAGCTGGGTGTTTTCATCATCCAAAAGCCTTGAAACAAAGCTGGTGAAACAAGAAATGACAACCTTGAGCCATGCAACGGTTGTGGCGCCGGCAAGATTCCTCATGCTACTTGTTGGGGGAACTGCAAACATGAACTCGTTTTGTGTTCAATCTCCTTGAAAAGTCTTAGTCTCTGCTGATCGAACATGGCAATGAAACAAATCCTCTTCTTATATACAGGATGGTGCCCCCAAATCATAAGATGGTTTACACAGTTATATAGTTATAAGTTATAGTTATATCTACCATAAACCATAGAATTCAGCCACTTTTCTGTTCGGCGTTTCTGAACGCTATCGCTCGAACAGGGGCCCCATCCTGATGATCGTCCATGGGATGAGACTGTTCGTGTTTCCTGGCCATCTCAAATTTGGGCTGTATCGAGCCAAAATGTCAATCTGATAGTCATGATTTAATGATGGTCATAATTTCTGGTTGGTGGTTGACCTACCCCTCTGAAAAATATGAAAATTCACGATATATGAACAACTAAAAAATGTCCCAAACCACCAATCAGTATATAGTCATGATAATCATGTTACATCATGTTGCCATGGTAGCCAATGTAGTCAAATACAGAAGAGCAATAGCCAAATGGGACCAGGCACAATTGAACGAACTTGCGGACATGGCGGATGAATTGCCTGTAGCCATGATAAATGGTGATTTTCCATAAACATGTTATTCCATACCAGAGTGTATCTCAATTCTTGCATGTGTTTCTAACTCTCCAAAGTTCGGAAGGACTGGTACCAAAGTCAGCATTGCCGATAGCCGCTAGCCGCTAGTGCTGCCACAAGTTTCACGTCACGCATTCTCGATGCTTTCATATGCTGTCCGCTACATAGTTACAGGCATAAATCTATTGAGACCTTGACCCCTTGGCACCAGAAAAATTCAAAGCTCTCCGCCATGGCTGTATGGCGTCCGGCCCAGGGGTCGCTGCTCACAAAATCAAACTCTTATTTTTGAAACATCAGCAGTGTGGAGTTGGGCCAAGTGAAGATGAAAAGCAAGGATTTGTAGTTGGTCCTATAGATAGCAACAAAAATAAGTCGCTTAGTCAAATCATGTCAAATCTAATTTGCCAACTATGGCAAGAAAAACTACTCTCCTATTGCTTGGTTTACACACTTGTTTGTTTGAATTGCATTCGCACATCATGCACTCAGAGTGACGTGATATTCACCATCTTTTATGATGACGTCATGTGAGGTTGCTGATCTATGTATATATATATATATATGGGTTTCCAGAAATGGGGATACCCCAAAATGAATGGTTTATAATGGAAAATCCCATTAAAATTGATGATTTAGGGGTACCTCCATCTCGGGAAATGCCCATATATATATATATCCACAGGAAATGAGCTATGGTCAATAGATGCCAACAGTCAATTAAGCTAGTTCGATTCTGGTCACCAGCATTGCTTCTTTCAATCCAAGGGGTTCAACCCATGTTGATGCCCTACCAGTAATCAGGATTTGTGAATATGATGAAGTCAGAAAAAACATCATAGCTAGCACTACAGGATGGGGCCCCAAGATAGCTAAGTTGCCCTACAAGTGGCTGAATTCTATGGTTTATGGTAGATATAATAACTATAGATAACTATAGATCATGGGGTTTATAAACCAATTTACAACTGGGGGGCACCATCCTGTACAATAAACTGTCTCATGTCGGCTGAAATCGGATCTACCCACCCCGGCATCACAAACAATCCCCACTTCCACCGCTGAATGGCTACATAGAGTCGCATAGAGTCGGTAAGCGACAGCTGTGCAGGTCTCCATGTACAAAGGGCGACCAAAGCCGCTGATCCCTTCCGTCACAGAGACCGCAATGGTTTCCAGAGAGTCCTGAAATCTGGAAGTGGCGATCTGAACAAGGTCGTGCCCCCCTGTTTTTTTGTGTTGGTGTATAAAACCCATAAAAGGAGTCGTTGGATGTTTTTCATAATGTTTGGGCCACTGTCCCTCATTCATGAACATTCCACTCATCGACATCCAGTTCATTACCCTCTGGTAATTTAACATAGCTATGGAAAATCACCATTTTTAATGGGAAAATCCACTATAAATAAGTCATTTTCAATAGCTATGTTAAATTACCAGAGGGTACTATGGATCACAAACTTATGCTATCGAACTGGGGCTCCACCAAGGATTTCGATTGGTCAATGGGGTACCTTTTCTGGATCCAGAAAAGGCTGGTATACCACATAAGGAACGGTGACAACTGTACAGGGTGGGCCCCCAAACCATACCTACTGTAAGTTGGTTGAACTAACTTGGTTAAGTATGATTTATAGTGTGTACACACATATATATATACACACATACAATGTGAGGCCCCCCAGTTATAAGTTGGATTATATACCCCAGTAACTATAGTTATAAGTACAAAACCATAGTTATTGGAGTTATGTTCACCAACTTAGCTATCGAACGGGGGCCTCACATTGTACACTCAATGGGGTTCACAAACCAACAAACCCACTAAACCCTTGGGTGCCCATGTCACCGCGCCTAGGGGAAGGCACAGAGATCGTTGAAGAACTCCCGCTTTTTGAATTTCGAATCTTCCAGCACACCCGTCGTGGCGTCCGAAGAGAAATCCGAACTAAACCTGCCAGGCTGCCATGGCGTCTCGGTCAACAAGGGTGGGCAAAAGCCTGTCTGAAATCACCGCTTTCTAATGTCTGGAAATGTCTGATGAGTATGACTACATATACATATATAATAAAATATGATATATTATTATATAATTATAATAGTTTTTTTATATTACTATATAATATCATATTATATACACAGTATGCATTGTTATATCTATCTCACTGTGTTCTCTTTGAAATTTCAAAGAGGTCACTAGCCAATCATTCGCCACCCTGAGGAGAAGGGTAGGTGGGGGGTATGTTGTCTCTATGGTGATGCGCTTCCGGTACGACTCAGTATGATAACTGCATCTAGGTACAACTCAGTATGTCGTGTGATATGTTGTGAGTATCGTGATATGATGATCGTACGTATGGAGTATAAAGGCAATTTTTAGGTAGTATATAGGTACGAGAACAACAAAAAAACGTGTGTGTAGTTTATCAATAGTATTCAGGATGCGTTAAACACATGTTGTATTGTGGGAGTATATAAGTAGTAATATAGGTAGTAAATAGGAGGTAGATAGGTAGCATAAATGTGGTTAGAGGATGCTATAGGTATGTAATGTACGTACTTTTGAGCAAGTATATGAATTATGTAGGTCGTCTAAAAAGTAGCATGTACCTATTACATGAGGCGGTCATTGCTGCAAATACCTTGCTAGCTATGGGACCCGTACCATTGGGGGGCAAGAATTCCTCCAACCACATCCATTTAAAAGAACCCCCATTCATCACCATAAAATCCCAGAAATATCCCATTAATCTCCCATAAATCTCACATACATCTCCCAACTTCCAACGTTTTTTCCACAACTCACGTCCCAAGCAGCTCCACGAAGACGCAGGGCTTCTCCGCATGGGTAATGGCGCTCAGGGTGATCAGATCCGTGCGCGCGCTGTAGCCCACTGGCGGGTCGGAGGCCACCATTTCCTACGCCGTGGGGGGATTGCCACATACGAAGAACTGGTTGGTGGTTGAGCCACCCCTCTGAAAAATATGAAAGGCAGTTGGGATGATTATTCCCAATATATGGAAAAATAAAAAATGTTCCAAACCACCAACCAGTAATGGTAGGATGGTTGTAGATAAATGGGGATGAATGAGACTTAAGCGCGTTCGCGTTCAAATAGGTTAGATTCTGCAAGTTCCTTTTGTGAAGATCTCTGAGGAAGATCACGAGCATCTCCTTGACAAGATCTCTGTAGAAGCTGCTGTGCAAGATCCCTTTGTCAGGATATCTGTAGAAGGTCCTGTGTAAGAGATCTTGTGTGTCGGAATCCTTGTGTTTTGCGGTGAGTCTCTCTCAGTCTATGCCAGATCTCTGTACAAGGCGTCTATATATCAAAGGGTAATTTGGAAAAACAAAGAATGATATACCTTCTGCCTTCTGACATGTATTGTGACATTTTGTCTGAAATTTTGTACATGTCTGTCTGACATATTGTGGTGGTTGTTTGACATAGATTCTGACAAATAGTTCGGACATGTATTCCACGCTCAAGAGACCAGCTTGAACAGAGAACGTTGATTTTAGCAAAAGAAAGAAAACAAAAGAAAATCCAACGCAGATTCCCAAACAACTCCAACCCATAGGAAGAATCACCAGAACAATAAAAACAGAAAAAAAAAGACTGCATTTTCCCCAGTGTTTGATGTGTTTTCTTTTTGGGGGGAGGCTTGCTGGCGTGTTTTCATTTCTTTTCTGTTTGACATTCTCTCAGTTGTTGGACTCCTAATGTTATTTGTTCGTAACCCCCCCAAACAAAAAAAAAGTGGGTAAAGAATGGCTTATGACTTATGACCCCAACACCTAAACATTTCACTAATTCCATGGGTTTACATAAGTAGCTTTAATAGGGATAAACAACGATGGGAAACCAATGGTTTGACTATACCATATGCAAACCATAGTGCATGGATGTGTATGGGTATATTTACCTACAAGACGTGGTAATTATTGGAGTACATGTTGATATTCAAGGTTTATGGTTCGCATGTGGGCAATAGAATTCCCACTACAGTGCTGGGTTTAAGGCAGCTTTCCAGTAGCCCCCGTAAAGAATCAAACGAATAAAACAGCTTCAATTCACCACCTTCTATAGTCACTATCTACAGTTACAATCACATCCTTTTCTGACTGGCTAAACAGTGACTATTATGATATGCCTATAAATAGTGTATATAGTCACTTTTTTTTGGACTGGAATAGGGTGTTTATAGTCACTGTTTATAGTAAAGTCAAGTCAATATGACTATAGATATCACTATAGATAGGGTTTATAGTCAGATAGATACCCTCTGGTAAAATAATAACATAGCTATGGGAAATGACCATTTTTAATGGCTAAATCAACTATAACTAGCCACTTTCAACAGCTATGTTAGTTTACCAGAGGGTATCCATAATTATCAGCCCAAATGGGTGATTTATGATTGTTTTACCCACATTAGATAGGCTTTATAGTCACATCACCATCCTGTATCAATGTTGGCTTATCATAACATGATATATATATACATGGATTTTCACCATACTAAACCCCTATATTGTTGTGGGTAAATCCTGTTGTTATATAGTGTTTAAGCACTGATCTTCATGACATCTGAAGATTCCCCCACTCTCAGTGGGGCCAATTGTTTGGGCCAAGGCGCCATGCCGATGCTCCTCTTCAGTGGGGCACGTTCCTGCGGAGTTGTCAACGGAGGTTCATCCTCCCAAATGTATACACCTATATGTGATATATATATATATATTTGTGATATAGGTTTCAACACACCACATCAGAATCAAATGGCCCACATGTTGATGAATCAACCATGATAAGTTTGCCAAGAAAAATGGGATGATGGGGTCCCAAAAGATCCAACCGTGGGGTTCCAAACGTCACCCCATTGATCACCATAAAACCATCTAAAATCCAATTATCAATGGATTGGTTGAAGGGAAAATTTACAGGAAACAATAGATGTTCCCACTAAATATGGGGCTTTCCGGTGAATTTTCCCTTAAACCAATCCATTGAAATTAAAAACCCTATCAGACTGGCCTGTTTCCATATACCCTCTGGTAAACTAACATAACTATGGAAAATCACCATTTTAAATGGGAAAATCCACTATAAATGGCCATTTTCAATAGCTATGTTAAATTACCAGAGGGTATGTCACCCAAGTTTAGTGAACTGAGTCATCCATCGTCCCAGGCCATTGGCTTGGATATTGGCCCAAGGCTTCGACCCTTTGTGATCTTGGCCCATTCCGAGGTGGTGGTCAAGCAGTAGGACAGGTGACAGATCACCATCTCAAAAAACAACATAGTAATTATATGGATTATTTATGGAAAATGGCCCTGTTCCATGGCAAACTGTCTAGCTACCAGAGGGTAAATCCCAGTAGGTCCCACTATATCCTATTAAATCCCATTGAACCCCATCAAATTGGTGGTAAATCCTGGGTCACTCACCATTTTCCCTATAAGTAAAATCGGAAAAATTATGAACATATCCCATAAATCTCCAGTAGATCCCTTTAAACCATACTAAACCATCCTAAACCATACTAAACCATACTAAACCATACTAAACCATACTAAACCATACTAAACCCCTATTGTTGTGGGTAAATCCTAAAGAAAATTCCCAGAAAACACCCTTGAACCTTGGGATTTTAAGTCACGTCCCAGCGACTGAGATCTCAGTCACACGCAAGGTCTGCACCGTGTTGTCGCCTTGGCGACGAAAAATAACAGCCACGGGGGGATGGATGTGTCATGGATATGTCATGGGGAGATCAGATAACATATTAAAATAATGTGGGGAATCATTGGGTAAGTTACAATATTTCACTAACATGAATGAAGGCCATTTTGGGATGATTCGCCTTACTAACTATGATTATAGTGAGGTCGCAGTGAGGTCGTTATAATTTACCCAGATCATATGGGGAATATATATATATATGTATTATATATATTATAGTAATATAACATGAGTTACTAATGATTTTCATGGGGAATTAAAAGGGGAATCGATTCATATTCCTACTGAACAAGAAGGGATTATAGTAAATAGTAATTATATATATATATATATGGATTTTTACCATACTAAACCCCTATATTGTTGTGGGTGAATTACTATATAACCTGCAGAAAGATTACGAAAAGTATGAAGCCAGGATGGCACTTCGATGATGGTCCAACAAAGGAGGATCCACGGAACCCAAAGGGCTGGGTTTTGAGTTTCCAATCACCTTTTCACATGGTATATGAAGCGCTGGAAATTGGATTTCTTTTTGAGTGAATGTCCCAGTGTTGCCAGGGTTATTGATATTTCTCTATGTCAACATCAGCATTTTAAGTATATTTTAAGTGGATTCACTACGAATATCATATATATATATATTTGGCACACTGCATGTAGAGGCGTGTCTCGCCGCGGCAGCTGCGTCCATGAATTCATGAAACGATATAATATATATATATATATATATCAATATCATGCCCAACCACCACAATACGAGAGTCATGTTTTTCACCTCAAATGGAGGTGTCCAAAGTCAAGTCATCATGGAAGTAGCCCCGGTGCCCTTGCCCCCCGTTGACGAACTCGGCACTGTATGCAATGGTGAACTGCCCCAGGGCACCACCATCGTCACCTGTGACGAGCCATGACGAACTCGTGGAGTTTTGAAGGTTTGGTGATTCATAATGGTTATCTATTGACAGTGATTAACAATGATTAACAATGGGATGTTATTAATCGCCATTATAAGGATTAAGAATGGGATGATGTATCTATAAATACTGATTAAGAATGGGATTTTAAGAGGATTTACCCTTTGGTTATTTAATGTTAGTTAACAGTTTGCCATGGAACATGGCCGATTGATAGATGTGGCATTTTGTTTTACCTACTGAAAATGGTGATGTTCCATAGCTATGGTATATAGCCAGAGGGACTCATCAATGTTGAATTTCAGCCACCAATACTACTGAGTTTTTACCATCAACCAGCAAATTTACTGATGATCGTACCTGGGATTTCGGTGTTTGTCTCCCCAGTGGCTAGTCTACCGCGTCACAAGTCAGAAGGGCTGTAAGCAACAAACATTGAGCAACAGGACCACCAAAATGGCAACTGGGATAAAAATTTCACAACCGCTGCGGTTGTTCTAACATGGATCGTGAGAACTGGCATGAAACGATGCAGTCTGGTACAATGTGAGGCCCCTAAGATAGCAAAGTTGGTGCACATAACTCCAATAACTTTGGTTTATGGTACTTATAACATCTTATAACTATAGTTACTGGGGCTTTTGTTAACCAACTAACATCACAACGGGGGGCCTCACATTGTATGGGAAGCCACCTGAAGGATGCCATCCCTTATCCATCTCTTGGCAGATCAAATTTAGCATCCATGAAAATCGCAGCTTGCCAAAAAACATGGGGATGCTTGAATTCTCCAGAATTTCAGAAAGTATTTAACTATGACTTTCAGGAAAATCAGATGGGACAACCATTAGAAAGACCCAGATGGGTCCCCTAGTGGCGCGTCGTTCTTTCAACCCGCGTGTTGAACGGCGCAAAAAAAAAGTCCCAACCTTCTTGGCGTTTGGCTTGGACCACCTGTTTGAAGAACTTGAATTGCATGGACTTGATCAACTCCTCAGCAGGGATGGGCCTGGATGGCTAACTTCGTCGGGAAAATGTCAGCCGGAAACTAATGGCTTTTCCGACAAAAATCAACTTCCTCGTGTCCGACGTAAAATCGGAAACTGGTTGGTTAAAACCCCATGACATATTTTTAAGCTTTACGAAGTTGTTTTGTTCCCTGGAAAACCAAAAAACGGTGAATCGCGACGTAAAACCACGCGAACTCGGATGGTTTTAGCTCACTCTGCAAATAAAAACATGGATAAAAAAAACCTGGAGTTGACCGACGACCGACAATTTCCAGCAGGATGGGCTGTTTGAACCATCATTTAGACCAGTTATTGGAAATCATAGCTGTGAACATTTTGTTTGGTGTTTACACTGGGGAGTGTTCGAAAACGCGAACACTTACCATGAACTGAAGGCCACAAATGCCGATGATGTGTACTCAATATTCATGGGACAATTATAGGATCATAGGATAGGTGGAGTAATTCATGTGGGATTCTTCATATATCCTTGTGAGGCCATGCACTTGATCAACTCCTCTTTTCAGTAGAAATTTCGGTGGAGAACCAACTACCTGAAAAGGATAGGGACGTTTAACAGTTTAACAACGATGAGTGGCGCACAACGATCCGGGTGACAGCTATGCATAGTAGAGTTCGATTACACATCATATCTTAGTCTTAAAACCACACATGTTTGAAGAGTTTACAAAGTTTACAACCCACTTACAACTGGCAACACTTTTCGTTGCCCTTCCTGAACTTTTTAGAGGTATCAAATCAGGTTGCGGTAAACTCAATAAGAAATCGTCCCCATTTCTGGTTTCCCACTGGATATGATATACCCCCATTTGGGATGATGTAACATCTCACATGGTGGTTGTGCAATTCCGTGAATGGTGAACAATGCTGGGTCAACATGTCTGAGAGTACAGGATATGTTGGGGGAAAGAGCATCTACAGGGTGGTGCCCCAGTTCGTTAGCTAAGTTGGTTTATAAGTCCAATAACTATGGTTTATAGGTGATATATCTATTGTTAATGGGATTATAACCCATTTATAACTGGGGGGGGCACATTTAGGAGTCAACGTTGCCTTTAAGAAAGGTCACACCGAGGCACCCACACATACTGCAAATCACCTCAACAAATGCTGTGGTGCAGTGCAAAAAAAGAGTGGCTCATCGTTCACGTGTATTTTTTTTCATACGGAACGTGCTTGAGGTTGACATGAACATATATACATATTGTTATATATATATATGCTACATATTGTTATATTGGTATATACTACATAGTGTTATATATTTGTAATTATATACATTGTAATCTATATACATATATATACTATATATATTGTAATGTATATATATATATAATTATATATAATTATATATAATTATATATAATTATATACAATTATATATAATTATATACAATTATATATAATTATATATAATTATATATAATTATATATAGTTATATATATATATACATTGCAATATATATATATATACACTACATATATATATATACTACATATACACAGGTTTTTTGTTCCCAAGGTCCTTCGGGGTTCATCTTGAGATGTCCGAAGCATAGACCTTTCAAACATGTGGAATCTCAAGGGATGGCGGATTAGAAATTCAAAGATCAAACGGATATAAAACAGATTGGGTTCCGATAGCTTATTGTTGCTTTAGAGTTTTTTGTAGTTGGTTATTATAGCTATAAACCACTGTTATTATAGTTGTTCATTATAGTTACTGAGTTACTGTCTGGTTGGTGGTTGACCTACCCCTCTGAAAAATGATGGAGTGAGTAACAGTTGGGATGATGAAATTCCCAACTGGATGGAAAGTCATAAAATTCATGTTCCAAACCACCAACCAGCCGACAGTTACATGCCTACTGCCTAATGAAGTGGTGCCCCTGCCCAATACAACAGCCAAAAACGCTTTAACAAAGTCTGGAATTGACCTTCGATCATGAACTCACCATGCCATCTCCAAATTCTCTGGATGGTTTCAATGGATTGAACATGTTTTAACACATCCCAAATATCTCCAAAAATAATAGTCACTTGGAAATCCCAAACATGGATAAATATGCTTGACATGTTTTGAACACAACTGATGTGTGCTTTCAACATGCTGTGCTCTTCGAAGCCCGTTTAAAACAGCAGTGTTCATCGCTGATCATCAGAGATAGGATGGAACATAGACATAAATCCCATGACGGATCCGGCTGGTGCTGGTATACTAACATAAAGGGGGTATATTGATGGGATCCATGGCAAACCATATATAGCATACATGGATCCTATGGGTATATATATACTGTACATATATATATATATACATATTCCCATATATTCCCATATATTCCCATCTTGTTTCCAGCCACTGTCACAACCCCCACCCAAAACAGCAACTTCAGCCGAGCCACCTGGCACCACTGCAGATTCCGCCACATGTCCAGGGTGCACAGCGTGCATCGGTGACGAGGACATCACAGCAAGCGATGGCGGAGCGACGGCTGTCGCGGTGGCGTGGCGACGTCCAAAAGGGGCTGCAGGAGTTTTTCAGATGGGATCTTAAAGAAAAACATAGGAAAAGCGTCATTGGTTGTTTCCCTGAAATCCAGGGCTACATATATAACATATATATATATACATATATATATATATATATTTAGATTGAGTGCAAGACATGTTTCCACCATTTCCGGGATTGGATACTCTGATTCTTTTCTCGCCGGTGCAGGATGTGCAGGGCGGGACCCGGCAGCAGCATCAAGGATCATCGAAGCCTGCAGCCTGGTAAAATGCATTGGAAATGGATCAGTTTAGCCAGCCTGGGGGCCACGTCCGAGGCCTAACAAAGAGAAGCTTTGCCAAAAAGTCTTAAGATTTATACCTATTGGGATAAGAAAAGTAATTAATTGTAACATATTTCAACTCACCCCTTCTGTGCTACTAAAATGGATCTCCTGCGGCTACCAATGGACAACTACCCAAACATGGTTATTATATAGCATCAATCAATATCAATCATCATATTGCAATATAAAATATGTATATATATATATATATCCGCATTTGTAGACATTAAAGTACTAAACTAACCTATATAGGTCGTCCCGTCCCGTTGGGACAGGCAAGGCAACTGATCCAGGATTGACCCGTTGTGCAGTGGCTTCAACGTCGGCGAAGATGTCCGAGGCATCCGCTGTACAAGTGCTGGATGCTCTAACGATCGGAACTGGACAGATCTGACTGGACTTTGAGAAGTTTAATTTTCCTGAAATTATTATACTTGTTAAAACAATTAAACTATTTAACTTTTCAAACAATTTAATTATACAATCACAAATTAATGCGTTGATCTTAACCTATTACACAATAAAAAAGATTTGGGATCTTGTCAAACAAAGACAATGTGTAAATAGAGCATATATATATATATATGGGTAAATTATAATATTTCACCAACCTGAATCAAGGCCATTTGGGGATGATTTCCCTTACTAACCATTATTCCCAGTGAGGTCGCAGTGAGGTCGTTATAATTTACCCAGATATATGCTACCTCAACGGGCACTTCAACCTGTTCACAACACATCGGGAAGTCATTGACCTTTGCATTTAGCCCCGATTTTTTTCGGCTTTTTTTCGGACCATGTTGCTGTCAGCAAAAACAATATATGTCATATATATATATAATACCTAAAGAGGATCCCTTTGCTATTTTGACATAGCTACTAGCTATGGAAATTAAACTAATTAATTATTGATCATAACATTGTTAATACCTGAGGTGATTATGGATAACTATTGGTATAATATTATCTAATACCTAACATTATTCATAGGTAAATCATGTACCATCATCGAGTCAGAAATGGGCCATGGCTCCGTAGCTAAACTTAGGCTAAGCAGGCCTGAAGCCGCGCATGTTATAACAATCACGTCAAGGCGCATGTTATAACAATGGTTCATTAAACAACAACGAAAAACAAACAAAAATGTCCAATAATTTTCGACATTGGGACTTTGGGATGGTTTGGGGTTTCAGTATCCATGTGGGTAAATTATAATATTTCACTAACCTGAACTAAGGCCATTTTGGGATGATTCCTCTTACTAAGCATGATTCCAGTGAGGTCGCAGTGAGGTCGTTATAATTTACCAAGATCCATGTACACAAAAATAACTTCGAACCTTGACTTCCAACGGTTTTGATCTTTGCACATCTTCCCCAGTTCCAGCTGATCCCTCGGCGCTAGTAGTGAATGGGCAGCTCCCATCGACCTGTCCTCAGCGATCATGGTGTGTCCAGGAGAACACCAAACACTGTGTCAATCTCACAAGCAAAATATAGGAATTTCAGGATCCTAAAACAGAGGTACTGCACCATAGCATTATAAAGCCAAAAAAAAAAATGGGGGCTATCCGGCTATCATATAGCCCTAAAAAATAGGCCTTCTTTTTGTGGTAGGTACCTCCAATTTCTGGCTGAAATGGCCATTGAAAATACTTTAACTGACTCCTCGATTGTCCCATTCTGGATCTATAGCAGAAATTACATATCTGACATGACATAACCATATGTAACCTACTAAACCGAGGTTGACCCAAACATTGTGTTGGTATCAAGGGATTCTGAGGGAAGACCTGCAGGAATTGATGTTTTCCTCTCAGCGACGGATGGGACATGATTTCCAGACATATGAAAGCAGCCAGCAAGTAATCCCTTCTGCATGGTATTACAAAATATATCAAGTGGCCACCCAAAATGAATAGATCCAACGCTTCACCAGGATTTCTGAAGGCCTATTTTTGTCTGTTCCCCATTTTGTGCATTTTGAGAAACAAGGTAAAACCCAAATACGCTTGTGTCGTGACCATCAGCGACTGTGCCACCTTGAAACTCCTGCTGGATCCCTACTGGATCTATGCAAAGTGGTGCCTCAGAGTCAGCTATATATGAGTTGGTACAACTAGGGTCTATGGTGATTCGTGATTAATTATCACTATAATTATATTATATATATATATATATCATATATATATATTGATGGGCTCAGTTATAACCCTTCTAACTTCACGGCCCTTTCTTAGCTGTCCGATCGATCCCCAACAATCCTTAGCTTTAAATCCGCGTCACTGCAGTCGACGGCGCACAGTCAGAAGGAAAACCAACAACAGCACCATCGCGATGGCCAGCAATAAGGTGCTCTTCAAGGACCTAAAGGGACATCATCTAGTAGGATCCACAAAAAAAATATCAATGTTAAGTGGACTGTTCTATGAAAGAGTAATCCCATCTCAGAAAAAAACAAAACGTGAAACATCTGTTCTGATGGACACCCTTGTTTTGTATTGGATTGGTTCGTTTTGGGTGCCCATATGGGGAGTATTTAATGCTAAGAAGGAGGCTTATTCAATATTTCTCAACCCCGGATTCATGCACCGACCCAAAGCTGTTTCGATGTAGAAGCAGCCCATGGCTTTAAATCAGGCACAAGAAAAATACTCTAAGTGAAGGCCCCACGAATCGGCAAAGACGTTTTCTAACCAATGGAGAATTCAACGGTTAACGGTTAACGTATTGTTTATCGGTATGGTCATCCACCCAATGATGGGAATCCACTGGGTGTATAAATCCCGAGGGATTGATTTCAGCACACAGATGGAGCCAAGTTGGTGGCTGCTAAAGACAGCATAGCCGCTCTGCACACAGATGCTGCAAAGCTGCTGAGCTGCGTTTATTTCTGATTCACAGGTATTCACATTCTGTAGCGACAGAGAAATCATCCGAACAGCAACGAAATGAAGAAATCAATCATATTTGACAACACTAATTCTCGAAACCAAAGCCATATGGTCCATCTGCATTTCTCGGCATACGAAACCAACCCCTCCCAAGGTCACTCCCCCAGCCATACGCTCCCTAAAATTGCTGGTTGGTGGTCAACCTGGATTCTGAACCGTTCTTAGGTCACAAATCACAATGGAATCATCTGATATAAATCCCATGGAAAAGCTCCAAATTTCCGGTGCCAAGAGACAAACCGAGAACACAAAGGATCCAGAAGGAAATGCCCAAGGAAAAGACCCCTGCGATCACCAACCTCACAAGATGGGAGGAGAACCTGAAGAGTTTGCCAAAGAAAATATAGGAAAATATGGACTAATTTTATAGATTATATATAAACTCGCGGTACTCTACCCGATTTTTCAATGGTGATTTCATGCGATTTTCATAGTTATGTGAGTTTACTGGAGTGTATCTCGCATAGAACAACAAAGAAACATTCAACAATCATATCCGATAATGGTGGGGGTTGATTCACCCATTAACTGGACTAACTTGACACACCCGCGCGCTGGCCAGCTGGGCATGTGTTCAGGCATCATCCCACCAGCAGAAATCAACCAAAGACATGTTGGCTTCTAATCTTACCCTCCGGTTATGAAAAACATAGCTATAAACAAGCCACGGCCCATAGAAGATGATTTTTCCATCCAAAGAAAACCCAATAGACATTTCATGGTTTTAACAGTGCCCTATGTTAAACAACCAAATGGTAATCAACCCTAATTCCATAATCTCCAGACTAGGGATGAACTATCATATTTGGGCGCTTTTACATCCCAGGAAGTGGCGACTCACCATGTTTTTTTTACCGACGTCGAAATGGGATTTTCGTACCAAGTGGCATACTTGCTTCACAAACAGCTCAACTATGGTTTACAGTAAATGTATCATTATACATGATCCAGAGAAATCCATAAGCATTCATGTATAGACATATATGCATATGTATATAATATATACATATGTATGTATATATATATATATGTATAGAGAGAGAGAGAGAAAGTATGTATACCTGGGTTCATCAACCAACAAACTCCAACAACCAGCCACCCGTTGAGCACCACCTTTGGGCACTGGTGCCACGGCACGTGGTGATGCGATTGCGCTGCGCCAGCGCCAGCATGCGATCCAGCGAGCGCCGCGCAGAGGTCAACTCGCTGTCGATGGTACGGACGTTGCCGCCTCAGCGACGAAGGCGAACAAAAATATGGAGGTTTCTTGAAATTGGGTACCCCAATAGCTGGATGATTTACAATGGAACATCCTACTCAAATGGATGATTTGGGGGGTTCCCATATTTTAGGAAACCTATATATATATACAATGAAACAACTAAGGTGTTAATATTAATTACATATCATGGCTTAGTTGTGACCTGAAAGAAATTGGCGACTCATGATGATTAGCCATCATACATTACATGGGGTTAAACATGTGTTTCACATGGGATTGAATAGGGTTTATGGATGGCTATGGGTCAAGTCACTGAAACGGAATTTTCCATTTTCTGAAGCACAAACTAGCTGGATGTTATATGGATGTTCAATGCGTTTCATCTCCCCAAAAATATGGTAACTCAATGTATTTCATACTTGTGATCCATCTCCACTTTTTGTTTCAAAGTATCATGACTTTGCAGCAATGGATTTTCCGATGGAAACCTCCATGTTCGGTGGATTTTCCATATAAAAACCTCCGTTTTCCAAGGGTTAGGACCTTACACAGGTTGATGCGCAGCCACGGACGTTCAAGATCGTTTCGCGCTGGGTCGCGAGGTCGCTGAGGACTCCCTGACCCACCTGGCGAAAAACAGTGGGACACCTGGGAAACCTGGGGAATATGACATCCTGGAAACACTTTTTGGCATCGCTTTGAGGGTTAGTGTAGTGTATAGTATATTTCTATGGTTTTCCTAAAATAGGGATACCCCTAAATCATCCATGTTATTTTCAGATTTGCCACTACAACCTATCCATTTTGGGGATGCTCATTGTTTTTAAAGAAACTTCCTATGAATACGCATATAATACATATAATATGAACACAAATATGAATAAAATGAATACTATTACACTAACAATGCAAAATAGAAATATACATTTTTATGTAAAAATAAGTGCTGGTATTGTTATCATTGTTATTATTATTGTTGATATTATCATAGATTTATCATGGCACAGTATATTTTATGTGTAAAATAATTGTTAGTACATTAGTTGTGAGATGTAAAGCATAGATACTCAAAATGGTTCACACTGTCCAGGCTCACATCCGCATGGCTTTTTCTTCCCAAACTCTTCGTGCGGTCTCAACCTGCTCCTCGCAGGATAGTGCTTTGGAACGCTGTGCAGGTAGTCTCCTGCACAGCAGCACTGGTTGGATCCGTACACCCTGTTCCGCACTCCTGTAAACTCAGGAGGCTACACAGGTTGAATCTCTCCCAATGCACTTCATCCCAAAGCACTCAGAGAAACTCCACAACCCGGAGAAACGCGGGAAGTGGTAGAGACCAAATCTCGAAGGGGAAAAATGCAAAATGCGTGGTGAACCCATGGCGTTTGTGCCATGTCGCCTGGAGGCCTTCACGGCTGATCTCATCAGACCAGTTGGCCTTGCTAGGGATCCACTCCCAGAAAAACCAAGCCTTAAGACCAAAAAGAGTGATATGAATCAATCGTGACATATACTCTAAATCTGCATTGTCAGAACGACCTCGGATCAATGCCATCAACGCTGCTGTGTTGTCAATGAACCAAAGCCCTCGTCTACCTCGAAATCTGGACGGCCTAGAAAACAAAGCGTAGAGCACTTGCAGCAACTCTAACTGGGCAATCTTCTTGTCACCAGGCTCCCAGAGGTTGTACACCAATTGGGGGATGAGAGAAACAAAAGCTTCCCGATGTTGCCTGTGACTGTCATGCCACACCACCAAAAAGCCTCCTGTCCCCTGACCTGGGCTCTCCAACGCCGCATCCGAAGCCGCAAGGAAGCGGAGCCCCGCATGTGGCCAGATCTCGATGTGGCGAGAGGGCCGGGTGGTGATGACAGTGCGAAGCAGGTCAAAACTCTGGCGCAACTCTTCAGTTAACTCTGAAGAGCGCTCCTGCTGTCTGTGCTTGATGGGAGCCAAGCCACCGCAGCCAATACGCCCCCACACGCCAAGCTCAAAGAAGTTGGCGATACCATAGAGCTTGGCTGCTACCCCTGGTTGCAGCCTGCCGGATTCCTCGGCAGTCTGCATGAGATGAAGCAGCTTGGTCTCGATGCGGTCACGGGCCCAAAATTGAACCATACCTTTCAAATGGACTTGACTGAAATCGTGATCCAGGCCTAAAAAGGTGCCGGTACTCTGCATCTTTTGACATTTCTCCTCTGAAAACGGTGTGCCCAAAAGGGTGTTGAGAGTCTGCAAAGCTCTCTGACCTGATCCCCGGCACGATTTGCGGTCTGTCAGGTGAGCATCATCGAAATACAAGCTGGTCAAACAAAAGGCAAATCGACGTGATAGTGCTTCCACAAAGCGACTGTATCGATTGAACGATGTGACTGCGAGAGGAAGACCAAAGAGCAGCCCGGTATAAATCATGAACGCCGGTTGTTGCCATTCATGATGGAAGAAAGCCACAATGCAGCATAAGGCCTCATCCCAACTCATAGGGCAAAACCGATAAGCGTCTGGCCAATCCTCACCGCCAGACTCCCATTCTTCAGCCTCCCAGTGGGATGACCTCCCAAAGGCGTAGGCATACTGCAGGTGTTGGGCTGGCCGCAACGCTGAGCAAAGGGTGAGCTTGTTTGCATCACTGGAACGCTCAGACTGCAAACCAACGTAAGCGTCATCAATCACTCGTTGCTTCCCCGAGGACTGTGTGATGACACATCGCGGGATCAATCGGTAGGGTTCCGCACCCAGACAACGCTGCAGTTCCTCTGCAGTCATGGGCAACCCACAAAACCCTTTCTCAGCATCTTTCAGGCTTTGTTGCAACAAAAATTCATCGTCGGCACCTGGCTTGAGCCGAGCCAAAATGGTGTTGTTGTGGCTCTGCCAGTCATGGAGTACCTCTTCTCTCGTCAAACGTGTGGCAACTTGTTCCGGAAAAATGCCATATGGAGGCGCGTAACCCACTGCAGGAAGCCCCATACACAGGCCTGCTGGCAGTGTCACGTCCCCCCAATTGGCTACCAGAAGAAGGATTGCAGTGAAGCCGATGTCACGTTGCATTGTTGCCGTTCTGATGGCCTCAGTCTGTTTGCGGCGCAAATGGGCTGTAATCGAGCTCCACCGTCGCTTCATCTCAGACAGGATGCCCATGGCGCACTCTCGCAACCTGCGCAGGTCAACTCCTGGCAGACTGGAGAAAGATGCAGCAAACCTCAGATCCTCATCCAAAATAGGCAGCCCTTCAGTAGGCAACTGTTGCAGGCTGAGCTGAAGGGCTTGCTCGAAATGCTGATCGGGCTGAAGGTGAAAAGGCAGAAGGGGGGCCAACGCCGCCCTGTGGTTGATCGCTCCCACCTGTTGCCCTTCTGCAGTCCTCATCTTCTGCCGCACTGAGGGGGCTGCCAACACTGGGTTACAGCTGCCCTCCATGTCCAGACCTTGTTGGTGGCGCCATCGCACAAATAGGTCAAGTGGGTACTGATTCACTAAGTCCTCCACAAAGGGGATGGCGACTCCCTCGAACCACTCGCCTGGGTATAACCTCTTGAACGCTAACGCCAAGGACTCCTGCAGAATATAAAATGGCCCAAAGGGGATACCTGTAGCCCGCGCTACACTGGACAAGAGGACACACCGGGTAACTCCCTGTGGACTCCTGCCAGAAAACCCTTGGACCACCTGGGGGGCACTCCGCTGGCCCTGCTCGCTCAATCTATCAAAAATCAACCCAGCAAGGAGGTCGGCCTCACAAGTTTGGGCTGCAGGGCAATCACAGACGAGCACTGCCCCCTCGAGCTCGTCCAGCTCGCACCAGAGTGTCTCCCTGATGTACTGGACGTAGTAAGGAACCCAGTCTTGGGGGGTGCAATTCACTCCCACCTGCCATGGAGACTTCCACTTGGTGGTAGGTAGGCGGTGGTTATGATTTCCGAGCCCCACATACACATGACCGGGAGGCAAGGCGCCCTGTTGCAAGACATCGTCAACACATGCTCTCGTGGGCACCCTAGCCGCTTCAGCTGTGTCCAAAGGCCGCAGGCCCAGGCTGATGGCCAGTGGGGTCATAGCCCACTCACGCAGTGCTCTAGGATCGAGGTCAAGCCAATGGTCTCGATGCCGTGCAACTCGGCGATGGGGACCTCGGCACATAGAGCTTGGCGTGTCCAACACGCACTGCCCACCACGAAGCTGCCGTGGCAATCGCAAAGCAGAGCTCTGCCGTATACTCGGACTCCTCAGCTGAAGGAAAATGGCGCTTGCCATTCTGGACCCAAGGTTCCCATTCCTGGGGGTCATGGAAATGGTTGCAGTCAGCTCGTGGCCATTGCGCGATCTCTGCAATGTTGTGGCGCAAACGCTGCAGCTTTGATCTTGCGCCCCCAAAACAGCAGGCTGAATACCGCTGGTCTGACCAGCGACCACTCTCCCACATTGCCACCTCATCCGGTGTCCACCAATGGAGGCTGTTGTATGGGTTCTCGCGGACTGATCCACCACCCCTCTCCACCAACTGGTCGATCTCAGACAGTACAAAACTGGCAGCTGCGTTATCCTGCTCCACCCGTTGCTGCTGAGAACCTGTCAACTCAGGTAGCCCCAGCGGGTGCTGTTCAGATCGCAATGGCCGGGGTGGTGGGCGCCCATCACCAAAGTCCCGCGGAATTTCCCTCGCGCGGCTCTTGGTAGAGCAATCCAAAGCAGCTGCTATGAAGCACACAGACTGCAACTGCTCATGCAACGATTGCTGCCGGAGGCGATTGGATAGGTCGTGACTCCTATCCAACATCCAATCCACTGAAATGGTCTCCCAACCACAAAAGATAAAGGCTTTGGACAAAGGTGTATTAGGCCCCGCATAAAGGTCCGCCATCCGCGGCAGCTGACAGTCAACACTGTCTACGGGTCTAGCCTCATCCTGCCCAGCAGAAGTGCCCGCCTCTCCCACTGGGCCCCGTCAAGGCGAAATCTTCGCCCGACATTGAATAGCTCCATGCCCCGGCATACCACAAATGCGCTCACCGCGCACCACGATGCCACACTTGTGCTGGCCTTGGGGGCAAGAGCTCTTGGGGTTCTTGCACTGTCCATGTTGGAAAGCCTGGCAAATCTTGGAGCCATCGCGCATCACCTTGGCCACCTTCTTGCCACTGACTGACTTGCCCAACGCAAACTGGGATGGTTGCTGGGCTGCTGTCGTAGCGACCGTAGTAGGCTTGCTCGCCTCGGCCTTAGGAGCTCCGGGCACCGCATGTGGCACCCAATGGGCATCACGTGCCACACTGGTCTCCTTGATGACCTCCCCCAAGGACTTGGATGATTCCCGAAACTTGGCAACCCAATCGGAACGATCCTCAAGGTCACGGGCCTCGAGCCAAGCCAACCTCTGTGACAACGGCAGTGCGCTGGACTGACGCTTCGCTCTGTAGAAGTATTGCATGACCACATCCAGAGGCACCTCCACAAAGGCTGTCGAGTCAGCGCCAAGGGTCTTTTCCGCTGAGGCATCCCGCACATTAGCCCTGGGGGTCACTCCCGCCATGGCATATGCGACCAACAAAGTGAGAAGACGATCCAAATAGTTCTCCCAGTCGTGAGGGATCTTGTCCTCGTCCTCAGCCTCCTCAGTGTAGAGCC